AAAGGCGTGCGCCACCACCGCCCGGCCGAATTATTGTATTTTTGTTGTATCAAAAATGTAAAGTCTCAGGTAACAATTTCCATATAAACATCCCTGATATATCTTGACTTATCAATAAAATCCCAAATATGTTTGAGATATCTAAAGAAATTATAGGTCAAATAGTATTTTATACATTTCAATTTTTATCATATTAAATTTTTTGTTTAATGGTGATTCAAACAAAAACCCAATGTGATATGAGGTGCCTTAACAAAACAATAGTAAACATTTTTCTGGAAAAAGAATCAGGAAAGAATAACAGAGAACTTCTGAATAATAATAATAATAATAATAATAATAATAATAATAATAATAATAATATGGTTTTGCATCTAACAAGTATGTTGCAAAGCTATAATAAATAAATACCAAATTTAAAAAAAAAAAAACAACTTATCAATGGATAGAAAAAGACATCCTAAAATAGACCCTAATATATGACAACACTTCAAATCGCTGGGTAAGATTAGAATTATTCATTGATAACCTTTGCACATTGTGATACTAATAAATGATGGTGTTATATCATTGACTTAATTTTCACTTTCTCATCATTTCCTCTAAAAAGCTGCAATTTATAGTGGCCCTGCAAGAGTGAAACCTTCCTTACTTTAAGACACTTACGGGAATATGTTTAAAAATAATACATGTTAGCTTTTCTAAACTGATGGGCATGCTCCAAAATGACTTTTTTAGTAAGATTTAGTGTTAACCTATTAGCATATATTTGAATTTCAGATAGGTGACTGGACCATTCACTGTCTTATGGATCTAGGATGCGATTTCCCAGCTTACCAGTAGGTGTCACCCTCTCCACTGCTCAGTACAGGCTTAATGCTGCATTTGTCCAGGCCTAGGACTTCAGGTTTACTGAGAGTTGGGTGCAAAAGATGTCAAAATAAATGTTCCCATTTTCTAGGAATGTACCTTAAGCAATCACAATTAAAAAATATGTATTTTCCTATTTTCTCAGTTGTACAACATTAAAATGTTATGCATATGTTTCTTTAAGTATGGAATAAAACTCCCTTTTTAATCTATGTCAGTCTTTGTCACTTTAAACTTGACAGTTGACACAATGTTATTGAAGAGATCATTATGTCAGTTAACTAATTAAGATACAGTATTTCATGATTGTAGCATTTGTTTGAAATCCATAACCTCCAGTTTCTCATATACATAAGCAACCTAAAGTCCTTTATTTGCCCAAATGTAGCTGTAGGAACCAATAGAAACCAATCAAGGACAGACAGGGTCTAGTGTCCCCTAGCTGCCTTTCTTCGCTGTGTATTCACATTAAGCCAAGCATTAGTTTCTAGCCAAACAAAATACGGTGGGAAGAGAAAGAATAATTACCAGTCTGAATGTGTCTATAACACATAGTTGTGAACCTGCCAGGTGAAAGATGCCTATACCCTGTAGGCATATTCAAAACATAAACGAGCCCTTCTATTTAACAAGATTAGATACAACCCTTGGGGCACTCTCTGAAGACCCCTGCTTCACCCCAGTTAATACCCACTCTTTGTCTCTGGCGCAGAATATCCAGGAAGCTTTCCCTTCCTGAGTACATGTTTTTCTCTTAACCCGATATGTTTTTCAGAGGGCCTTTTGGTATTCTGTGATGATAGATGCCACAGAAACGTTTGGGTGTTTTTGGACTAATTGGATAGCTTCGCTTCCCAGAGCTGTCAGCTTCTCAATTTTTACAAGTGGTAAATTCAAGTGAAATGAAATTTCTAAAATTAAAAACAAACCCTTACAAGACATAAAAACTAGACCACAAGGAGCCGTGACGGTTTGAAGAGTTTGTCCCAAACTCTGAGCACCTCCTGATGGCTGCACCAAAGAGCAGCACCCCACCCCTCCCAGGAGGCTGACCGGGAAGGGAAGCTTTCTTAGAGGAGGCATCAGTGCACAGAGCTAGCTTTTTCTTCCTTCCTGTCACGCACTCCCTCCTTACAGCTTACTTGTTTGTTTTTTAAGATACTGTAATGTGACTCAGCATAAATGGAAATGTTCTGTATTACTTCCATCACAAAGCCTGAGTATTATCCTAGCTCAGGTTAAGAGACAGGAAAACACGCATTGGTGCAGAATGGTGCCAAATCCCAGTATTTCAAAATGAAAGCAAAAGACGAATAATAGTAACTGGATAAAACATGTCATTTTCATGTTCAAGATTTTGAAACAAAAGTAAGAATTTGCCAGGGCCTGGCGGTACTGATCTGTAGTTTCAGTGATGGAAGCAGGATTATAGTTTCAAAACCAGCCCGTTTTGTGGTGGGAGTTCTAGGCCAGCCTGGGCAGTGGGACCTTGTGTCAATACAACCGGTTGATACAGGTCTGGAGATATGATGCAACAACAGAGTGGTAGTCTGGCATGTGCATGACCTTTGGCTGAATCTCTCCAGCCCCACAGAGTTAGTGCATTTGTGGGGAAATTTTAACTATGCTATTGGTTATTTAAACATTTAGGGTGACCATGTTGTTTTAATTTACAATGAAGATTATTAAAATCTGATTTGTGTAACTTTCCCTGTGTTGATAATCTAGTTCTGGTGTGCTGACAGCAGCAGCTGCTGTCGGGAGTATCAGCAGCAGACCTCAGGGAGATCCTGCAGGTGTGCGATGCATAGGTGACCGCATTGATTTTGAAACAAATATAGTGCGTTCCACCTTGAAGACTTCTGCCTAAGGCTTGGGTTAGAGAGCTTAGGTTGGGCTGACCAACCTGGGAGGGTTCTCCCTCACTCGGTCTGAGGATGCTTTTTCTTCCATCAGAACTCTATTTCTTCACTCCTTTCAGGCGCATCGAGTTTATCTCCTGCTGAAGCCAGCAGGTATCTGGCTCCTGCTCTCTCACTGGTACCACAATCCTTCCCCACAGTCCTCACAGCTGCTCCAAGGCCTGCCTGTCTTGTAGCTAGCTAAGGGTAAAAGAAACAAGTATGATCTGGGTCTCACAGTTGGTTCTCAATCTCAGCTAAGTGTTTCAGTTTGGGCATAAACACTAAAAAACAAACAAACAAGCAAACTAAAACAACAGACAAAAACTGGAAGAACCTCTTCTTAAGGAAATGTATTTTTTAATAGAAGTTAAAATTTTCTTTTCTCTCCTATAATCTACTTGTACGTAGCCAGGTCACCACTTAGGGCAAAATAAGATGTCCATGAGACACATCTTTAACTGTTTGGAATCCAATGTCCACTGAAACATTGACTGATTCGTCTGAGTTTATAAAATGGGTCTCAGTATCTTAACTCTAAGCGTGGAGTCATCATGCGATAAAGTCTTACCTATTAGGGGAAGTGATGCCATGAGGATAACAGGATGATAAAATTCAACTTCACAATGCTTGAGTGAAAAATAGAAGGTTTATAGAATTAAAACGAAGAACAGATAATTATTTAGTTACAATCCTTAATATCAAGAAATAAGGGATATTTGGAACAATGGAGAGTAAAAACACCTACTGATCCATATTATTCATATAGATCCTTGTTGCCTTGTAGTTTCTTCTCAGCTGGAACACTTCCTGTGGAGAAGGGATACTTACTTATGGGGCTCATGATCTCACAAGCCTTAGGAGACCCTTTCTTGCTCCCCTATAAACAGTCAACGGCTCTCCAGGAACAGGTGAATCTTCACAGGAGGAGCTACCTGAAAGTTGCACAAGCAATTGTAATGATGCTGCTTTGGAGAGAAATCTTACAGGTAACCGGGGGCCACTTTTGTGATGCAGCTGCCCAAATCATCCTAGCTCTTACAAGTTAGCCTTCCCTCATGGTACTCCTGTAAGCAATCCCAATAAAACTCATTGGAAAGATGAATGCTATTTTTGACCTCACATTGTCTCATCTGGGGTGAATAGGATCCCTTGAATAAGACACTATAGGTCCCCCAGTAAATAATTCCTAGGACATACAAACATACCCCGTCTAACATAACAACAGAGACCGGAAGTTCATCACATCCAATACTTTAGTCACTAAGTATTTCTTTCCCTTGTACTGCGGATTTTAGGTTTGGACTACTACTATTCTGAGTTTTCATTTCTTACTGTCTTCCAGAAACACATATCTCTTCATGTTATGCAGACAAGTACTTTATTGAGGACTGATTTCGTTAGAACAAACTCAAGTGGAACTCATTAAGGTGAATGTACCTTCTTGGACTGCTTCAACATATCTAGTACTTTGAAAATGGTTTTCATAATTATTATGTTATATATACATATAATATATGAAATATATAATTATAAAATGCATTAATTCTTTTTCAAAAAATGAAAACTGGAGGGACTAAAAAAATGATATGGAGAAAAGGTCATCTGTGATGATGACACTATTTGTTTTATATCAAAGGGGCTTGAGTTTGAACTGAGAAACTTCTTGTACTTGGCAGTACAGAGCTAGCTAGCCCCAGGAACATAGATCCAGGGAGCATGAGGGGCCGACTGGTAGCTTCTTCCCCATGAGAATGAGAAATGCCAAGAAAACTTTGGGAGCAGGAAACTTGAGAAATCTCTGGTTGTAGGCTCTGGATTCATTATTCCAATAAGCCGAGGCAGGTAGTATCGTACTGAAAAGTGGGGTACTAAGTGAAATCCTGCCTCCCACTCACCAGAAATGTCTTTATTTCTAAAGACTTACTTATTTTTACTTTATGTGTCTGGGTGTTTGCCTATGTGTGTGTTTGTTCACCATGTAGATACCTGGTATCCCCATAGGTCAGAAGAGGGCACCAGATGCCATGGAATTGAAATTAGGCGCTGCCATGTGGGTGCCGGGAATTGAGTGTAGGTCCTCTGGAAGACCACCCAATGCTCTAAGTTGCTAAGCCATCTCTCCAGCCCCAAGAATGCCTTGGACACAAAATACTACAAACAGAGTGAGGAGAGCATCATAGGAGATGCTAAGGTAAGGCAGGAGGCAGGAAAACAAAACAGAACAAAAACTCCTTTGAGTAATGTGAAGACTCAAGAAGCTCTTACATTAATAATACAAGAGCAATTTCAATAAAGGAAGTCATAAGTGAGCCACCAGAAATTCTTGGAAATAAAGACCATTCACATATCTACAATAAAAAACCGGGAAGAATGAGTGGAAGGAATCTTCAGAAAAGGATTGTGAAAGAGAAGGCCAAAGGTGTGGAGGAGAGAGGTAAGAAAATTAAGCATCAATAATCTAGAAATATCTACAGAAGAAAGGGGAATTCAAAAGAGAGAGAGAGAACTATTAGGAATGTGACTTGGATCTGCTTTCATTAATGCATTCGTGTCCACTTCTGAGTGACAAAACAGCTCTAGGACAAGATGTGACCACATCCTGCTGAGAGGTCAGCAGTAGAATGCTGGGAGCTTGAGTAGGTAGCTAAGACTTGCTTAAGTCGTAGTTTTGGATCAGAGAATAACCCACTCAATGCATAGCAGCAGGCATCTGGTGAGAAACTCCCTTTCTGTTTGTGACTGGCCCTTATCAAGCAACATGCAAATTCCGGGAAAGGACAGACTGAAATACCGGGATTTCCTATCAGTGGCCCTATACTGCAGGCTTTTTATCAGTTCCGAAAGGCTGCCCCATGCTGCTGTCCAAATTCCACGTCCTATTTTCCTTTGTGACTCACTCTGAAAACTGGTCAAATATTTTTTGAGCAGTCTCTAAGATAAGGAGTTCATCAGCACCCTGAGGTTTGGCCATGGGCTTCATGAGCCCTTTCTGCTTTGGAGAGCATCCTCAAGGACTTTTGTCCTTGCTGGGCAGTTGTACCCATGTGTCCTTGAATCTGCCCCTCCCTTTCACTCCCTGATGAAAGGCATTAATGACCTGACACTTCAAAAGCCTCTTTCTATAAGCTCAGTCCTTGCCTGTTTCCAGGATTCTCTAAAAAGATTTACATCTCATCTAGCTTTAATAAATTAACTTTCAATGCAAACATGTTTATTATTGGCTGTCAAAACAAGTTTAAAAATGAGAATATTCACATTTCTTGCAAACATGTTTGTGAAAAAAGAAAAAAAAAACAATAACAGAGCTCCCAAAAATGATGATTCTCTGTGATAATCACTCAACACTTCTGAGCTGCTATATAAAGAATGGATCACATGGCATACATTCTATTCTGTGATTAAGGGGAATGTTGTTGAGAGAGAGTGAGCCAGAGCCAGAGAGACAGACAGACCCTGAGAGAGACAGAGACAGTGCTAGACCATGTAGAAGCATATGGAGGAGAGTGACTGACATTGGGTGTCTTTTTTAATTACTTTTCCAACTTACATTTTTTTTAAACCAGCATACATGTTAAACATCATTATGACTTTTTTTTTTTTTTTTTTGGTTTTTTGAGACAGGGTTTTCTGTGTAGTTTAGGTACCTGTTCTGTATCTCACTCTGTAGACCAGGCTGGCCTCAAACTCACAGAGATCCACCTGCCTCTGCCTTCCAAGTGCTGGGATTAAAGGCATGTGCCACCACCGCCCGGCGTGACTTTTTTTTTAAACAAAGTGTGTTTTATGGTTCTCCTATCCTCCCCCTGGCCCATCCTTTTGCTAAGTCTGTTCTACCTCCACACACATTTGGTCTCTTTCAGGTCCTTTTGCACAATCTCCATCCACCTTATTTGTTTGAGACACGGTTTCTCGCTTCACCTGAAGCTCACTGCTTTGGGCTAGACTGACTGGCCAGAAAGCCCTCTTCCCCCAGGTTCTTCCAGTTTCTGTTTCCTAGTGCTGGGGTTACAGGTGTGCGTCACCATGCCTGCCTTTTACCTGGGTGCTGGAGATAGGAACTTAGTCCTCTTGCTTACATAGCAAGTACTATGCCCGCGGAACCATCTCATTAGTTCCCTTTTTATGTATTTTTTTTTCCAGCTACCATTTTAAAGTTAAACCTAGGCTATGCCTACTAAGGAAGAAGAAACACAATCTGTGGATGAATACAGTAAATCAATGATGGATTTTCTCAACTATCAGTGAGAGCTGCTTTTATAGTTCGAAAGGCAAATACGTTATTTTAAACATTTGTGGATATGAGAATGATTTAGCAAGCACTCCTTGGCTTGATGATACCCCATCATTAAAGTGTGACTTAAATTTAGATGTGAGAGAATTACTCCTCTTACGGTTAAATCCACAGACTTAAAGAACACTGCAGTCTTATCTAGCCCTTCCCTCTGAAGAACTAAATGGGTTTTACTGACATTTTCTTGCTGCTCTCAGTGTTCCCTAAGGGAAGGTAGCATTGTTTCCATGGGGTAGATAAGAAAATGCAGAGAAATTAAATGAAATGCTTAAGATTATTCAACCATCTATAGCTTTGGGAAGACAAATCTGGTCTCCAGAGCCCACACCAATACTTTAACCAACGACGTCAATCTTCACTGGAGGAAAGGGCATAATGAGTGTTAAATCCAGACACTAAATATGTTTTACTGTCCTCTACACAATGACAGCTGTATTTCAGAACTCTCCCGAAGGCAGATCTTTGCCTTTAAAAGGACACAAGGGCAAAAGTTTGGCACAACTAACCCTTACCAAAGAGTTCAGAGTGATTTGTTTTATTTCTTCCATTTCCGTTTGTCTTGAGAAATAGGCCCTCTGGCTGTTAAGTAACCGGAGTGCTGGTACCACCCCATAAATAAATACCCATGCTTCCGGTACAGAAGGTAGGGTTTTTTGGGGTATCAAAGGAATCCCATTTTCTTAAATGGAGCTCATCTTTAAGTGAACTCTAGGGATTATGTTTGCAATTTGCCTTTGATAGCACATAATCAAGAAGTGGTTCAGGAAATAAATAAATAAGATCAGGTTCACAAAAGGAAGGGTCTAAGCAAAACAAGTCTTGGTTCTGTCCTGTTACTTGTCAAATCTTGCAACAATTTTAAAATGAATTAATTTTTAAGTATATAAATCAATACAGAGATAATGAATGTGTTGTTGTTTCAAAAGAATATTTTGATATGGCCAGACTTGTGTTTCTACATGTTTACATAAAGTCACCAAAGTTTCAATTTTCTATTGGTCCATAGAATATTTACTTTGCATCGCTTTTTATATGACAGATTTTGTTGTTCACTAAAGCTTGGACAAACTAAATAAATTGTGTGTGTGTGCAGTCACGTGTAGGGGTGCACATGTGTGTGTTGGGGGTAAGTACCTGTAGAGGTCAGAACATAATTCATACTTTCCACTTTTTGTTTGAGACACGGTGTTACTAAAATTCTTTCCCTGGAGGGAGACATAAACAATGTCCACCCTTCCTCCTAAGGTACCAGTGACAAAGTTCACCCCAGAGAACCAGTGAGTTTACTAGGCTTACTGACAGAACAATGGGTATGGGGTTATGGTCAAGAGCATTAAAGCAGCCACACTGGAAAGTCTTGTATGGATGAGGCGTCCCCAAGGATGCCTAACATGACTACACGGATGTCTATGTAAAGGGTGCTCACGGCCCTCCCAAGCTTTGACACTTCCAGCCATTCCCTTGGATCATGTGCAGCTAGATCAGTGCTGCATACAGACAGCTGGTTGGGGGTCACAGCTGGCTATCTGTGTGAGAGTCCTCTGACCCTCCCTGTTCCTTCTTCAGTGGGGGAAGTTAATAGTAAGTCTTGTTGTGGTGATCTTCTGCAAGTGGACACAGATGAACTCAAGAAGATAGGGACAGTTTTGCCAACCAGACTAGTACTTGGCCAGCACATTCCTGTTTCTCCGGTCTCTCCACAGCTGCGATGGCGGTTTCCTCACAGCTTAAATGGAATCTAGGGATGTAACTCTAGCCCCTATGATTTGGAGGCACATGTGTTACCAACGGAGCCATCTCTCCGGTCTTAGTTTTCTTTTTAAATCTTAAAAAGAAACACAAAAGAGAAAAACACTGAAGAGAGAACTGGGGACAGGGGAAGAATATTACCTGAGATCCTGAGTAACTGCCCTCAGGGTCCCACATGGAAGTCTTCATATTTAATATACAGATGTTAAATGCTGAAGTCCAGCTGTGATCCTGTCTTCATATATTTCCTAAATAATACTGGACTTCTTCTCATGTTAGAAATAAGGAACTAACAGAGCCTTTGGGCTGTTAGGAAACATACTCAAAGTCATGTGTCCATTAATGTACAGTCCTGTCTGTGTGTTATGCCTTCTATTTTCCACAAGGAAGTTTGCTGTAATTCAGGGGTTGCTTGCAAGTTACTCTGCTCTGCTTAATTGCTCATCAGATTTTCGTAGCTCACTTGACCATACGTACTTCAAATTACTTTGTTATATTTTTCCATGTGGGTAATTGAGTTTCATCTGCAAATACTGAAAGGGGTAAATAATGTACTTTAACAAGAACGATTCATATTTTTTAAAGTCATGTTTCTGTTCTGGTATCAGAACAGATCACAGCTTCTCTGCCTGAGCCACTGGTATGTGCTTAGGAGCCAGGTGCTATCAAAGAGATGGATCCTCAAATGCTAAAATCACACTAAATAAGGCAAGGTGATCATGCCAGAGAGCTGAGATGGACAAGATGCAGAGTTCTAGTGCAAATTTCATACAGATTTTGAAAACAAAATGATTGTCCCATGTAGTGGACCTTTCTAAAGGGACTCCCCAGAATAAGGCAAAACAGAGGCTAAAAGTGCCAGTAAGATAATATGGCTGCCGTTCTGAAGTCTCACCTGCAATGGGCTGTCTCCCACACGGGGATTTCCCATCTACAAAATGAGGGACTGCACGAACCAGGTCTACAACTTCACATATAACATTCAGGGACTCCATGAAAGGGATGCTACCCAAGGAAGGTCAGCTTTAATTCAGACTGAAATTAACTGGAAAGAAAAGTAAAATCTGAGGGTATTTTGTAAGGGAAAAGGGTTAACCTAGTTTCCCTTGGGGCCTGGGAGGAGAGGAAAAGACTCTATTCAATGTTTGGGAAGAATTCTGTTGGGCAGCGGGAGCCCTGCCCTAAAGGCATGTCTGCAGAGGATGTATGGAGGACAGGAAGCTACAGACTAGACTACTACTGTTGGACATTTGTTTTCAAAGCGAGAACATTTTACAAAAAACAAAACAAAAAAAACAACAACAGGCATTTGCACATTTAGTGTCTCCTGTCTGAGAAAACACAAAGCAAGATTTGTTGTGATTTTGCTTAGAAATTGTGTTTGCTACACAATGTGTGGCTAGCTACATCCTCTGTAGACTGAGTCGTCACTGATTTAGTTTGTCAACAATGGCAAGCATACACACACATTTGGCATCCTCCTGTGTTAAATAGATCATTAAACAGAAGTTAAGATTGATTTGGTCTATAAGCCCAGTCTTCACTTGTATCATCGTTCTAATCTTCCTCCATCTTAGCAAAACTAATATCACCCAATGGTTTCTTTGGGTCACTGGCAAGCCCCTTGTGTCCTTGAAGTTCAATAAAATAAAGGAAGGAAACCCAGCCTTTAGACAGGCAATATTCTGATCAGGGGGTCGTTGTCTAGGCGTGGGGCCATCACTGGTTTAGAGAAAGAAATGCACTGCTGGACGATACTGAGAACAGTGTTACAGAGGAAATGCTGTGTGGCTATAATAGTCGATACTAGAATGAGTTCATTAGCATCATAGGGATGTACGTAATCTTCAACAACACGGTATTAGACCAGGCTAGTCCTTCTTGCAATCAGAAACCAATTAAAACGGTTTAGTTGATCCGGGTGATCAACTTAAAGTCAGACAAGAATCCAACCCAGTTGGTGATAAGCAAACTAGATTTTAGAGTGCTTACTCAAGCGATTAAAAAAAAAATAGATGAAATAAAACAGAACCGCTGTTCCCAGAGAAAGAGACCAGCACGGCAGCAACTCAGAAGTAGATTTGGGGATCTTAAAAAAAGCTTAATTTATGGGGACTGTGATGTTTAAAGCTCTACTCAAATGATACCAACAAGCAAAAATTAGTCAAGTTAGAGTCCATTGTAACTTTAATCGTGGCAATAAACATCAAGAGGTGCAGCTCAGGAGAGAGTGCAGCGAAGGTCCCAAGGCCAGTGCCCAGCTTAGTCATTGGGGGTGGAGATGGGAGCTGTTCCCCCAGACTGATGTCTTCTGTTATGAGAGACTCCCTAAAAATGGAATTTATAAACATGCTATTGTGAAGAGTACTTTACTACCCATTAGCAGTCCTATGGCAATAACATTTAGAAGAAAAAAAAAAAAAAAGGAAAAGAACAGGCTGGCCTGATTACTATATTAGCCCAAGTCCTTCATCTCATCTTTGAAATTTAATTAACATGACCTTTCTTATTTTTTGAGAAGAAAGCCACGAAAAAATTTAGTGTCATAAAACGTGGCTTGCAATATTATGTTTTAATTAAAATTGAATAAGCCTTCCAATTAATA